TTCTCCTCCAGTAAAAGTATAAGGTCTACACATTTGCTTGAAACCGAACTTGAACATGGTATGAAACAAGCGAAAGGTTGGGAAAACTTTTGATTTGTGTTTGAGAAAGTAGATCCAAGTGTACTTTGTACATTCAACAAAAAGAGTACAAAATACTTGTATCCCAACCGAGAAACAATAGATGAAGTCCAAACATCACTATGTATAATTTCAAAAGGTGAAATAGCATGCTCAACTTTGTGAGTGAATGGAAAAATATGATTCTTACTCAAACAACAAGAAACACAAGATGTATCAAAGGATTTTATAGGAGAAATTTTAGTTCTAATAAAACCAGACGATTCAATGTAGAAGAGCTCAAATAAGCAAATGATGGTGCTGATTGTGATCTCTCAAACTCAAATGCAAACAAGCAGCCCAGCCTACGCCCCTTCCCTTTCACCTTTCCAGTGCATTGGTCCTAAATCAAACAACCATTAAAGGAAAAAGTTAGAATGTTCTCTTCATTAACTAATTGACCAATTGAAATAAGATTAGCAGTAAGTTTAGAGACAATGAAGGTTTTGGCAAGTGACAAGGAGTTTGAGGGTGAAAGTTTGAGATACAAATCATCACTCCCAATAATGTCAAGTTTATCATCACTAATAGTGACAATATGTTTATGGTTGACCTTAGAAAGTCTGTTTGATGGTTCAAAGTAGGCTCCAGTCATATGATTTGTAGCACCAGAATCAATGATCTAAACTTGAGAGAGAAATGAACAAAAACAAAAAAACTCACTAGATAGGCCAATAGCAAAAAAAGCAGATGAGATAGCAGAGAATACTAGTTGTCGTATCTCTTCCTTATTCATGGAAGTAGAGGATTCTCCCTTAGTAGTAAAGACATCAGTCATTTGTCCCTTAGACACCTAATAAGCCTGTAGTTGATCCTTCTTCATAATGCCCTTGGATGGACAAATTGGGTAGTTTGGAATGATATGGCCATGTTGTTTGCAATAGATACAAACATTCTTCTTCTTGTAGTATGAAGCTATATGTCCAAATCCCTTCCACTCATAACATTGAGTTTTAGAGGGATCCTTCCCACTCGATTTCTTACTCCCACATGCAATAAAAGTTGTATTCATCCCTGAGTCAAGTTGTTTTCTCTTTATGTTTACAACAGTCATAGGTCTAGTCTCCTCCCTCAACAACTCTCCCATCACAGAGTCCAAATCTGGAAGAGTTCCTTTACTCAAAATATTTGACATAATTATTTCATATTCAGGTCTCAACCTCATAAGGAATTGATTCACTTTTCTAATTTCAAAATGCTTTTGTAGATACTTGACACACTTTGGGGGATCCGATGGTTTAGTGTGAACTAGTTCAAATTCTGCCCATAAATCAATGAAACTTGCATATTATTCTCGTATCTTTTAGTCCCTTTGGTAGTAGGCAAAGATTTCAGATTCAATCTGATATTACTGAGACCTATTAGATTGATGGTAAACTTTCTTCAAGTAGTAATACATTTCATGGGTTGTTCTTAGTCTTCTCATAGGAATAGAAATATGAGGTGTAATGGAACTTAGAATTCAGGAGATTAATCTTCCATTGTCCAACTTCCATTGTGTAAAGGTTTTGTTGTTCACTTCATCGGGTTTGCAGACAATGCCATTCAAGTAGCCTTCAAGTCCCTTGCCATAAAAAAAAAATTGAAATGAAACTTCCATGTATTGTAGTTGGTTCAATCAAATTTCACAGGGATAATATCTATTTTTTCAGTCATCAGAAATAAATAAAGGTAACCCAGGAAAAAAAGTAGCAGCACTGATATTTGTAGCATGGTTTTTAAAACTGATTCGGAGACCCAACCGGTCAAGGGTTTGGTTATTGGGTCGAATGGTCGACCCATTTTGACAAAAAAAAATAGTCAAAACCGTTCGAATAGTTAATCGCCTGGGTCAGCGGTTTGCTGACCAAAATCAATGATTTTTGAAGAAAATCCAGTTTTGGGGAAAACTGAAACCAGTCACCTAACCGTTTCCCGGTTTTTCCAGTTCAATCGTTGGTCCGATCCGGTTTTGAAAACCATGATTTTTAGTTCAGGATTGTTAACCACTTTACTTGATTCAACAATAGTTTAAGTACTAAAAAAATAGTATTGCATCAACTTAACATAGCTTTCTTCATAGAAAAGGAACTTAATATCACGGTTGCAACAAGCAATGCTGACAAACAGTAACGAAATATGGTCTAGAAGAGAAATATAATCAAATATCTTCAATATAGATATGCCACTTTATAGAGGAATCAAAATCCTCTAAGAAATTTTTCAGAACAACTCCACCCCGATTGTGTGCTATGTTGATTATCCAACTCAACAGTGTTCTAGGACTATTGAACTAAAGAGAAAGGAAGTACTCTCCAAAACTGATAAACAACTGCAACTAGGTAGTTTAGGGAGTAAGAGTACCCTAGGATGACACCAAATCTAGGGTAAAAAAAAACAAGATTGCCGATTAAGTAGAAGAGGCAAATTTACCAACCCAATACATGCAAATTTCCAGAAACCCTAAGAGAGGAGATCAAAATTCCCCCATACTTGTCCAATTACAACGAGATTTTTTGTGTAGGTAGACCAGGTCTGGATGACACACCATATAAAGTTTCACTTCAAACAGATGCTTTCCCAAACAATTCTATGAAGATTTCCCTTGTTGAAATCGTAGAATATAGTAACTGGGATTAGGATTGACTGAAACAACTCTAGCTTCAGTTGATGAGTCCGAAAACTAACAAACTTTTGAGATATCAGAGAGAGAGAGAGAGAGAGAGAGAGCATGAAGCAAGTACTGATTATAGAGCAACCTGCTTTGATACTATGTCAACTAGGCAGTTCGTACAAGAGAGGAAAAGACCGATTTCTGGGGTGAAGAATGAATAGTTTGGCTGAACCCCAATAGACTCAATATAAAGATTAATAAAATAAGAATATTTACAAAAAAGCCCTTGCAAGGCTAAAGAGAAAATAACAATAAAATACAAGATACAATACAACAAGGATTACACTAATATGGTACATCAGTGAGACAATGATTAGTCATTTTGGACACCCAAATGATTGCAATGAGTGGTTGGTACCTATATTCTGACTAGTTGACCACAAAAAATGAATGACATTTTATGTAGTGATTAGTGCCAAAGGTGATCATTTTTCATCAATTGTCTTTAGCATCAATAAAAACAAAATTATCAGACTTGTCCTATTTTGGAAGAAGATGCATAAGAATGAGGAAGGTGGACAAAAAAATAAATGGGTAAATTAGCCATTGTGGGTTTAATAAAAAATCTGAAGATCCATTGTAACTGTATATATTTTATATTTTGATAAATTTCAAAAGAATCAGATTATATTTCCAATTATGATAGGATTCATATTTCAATTTGATATAAGCCCTTTACACTTTTTAGAACATTATGGGTGTTTGCATGGTGATGTAGGGAGCCTTCTTTTTTATGAGTAGTGTCAACACTTGATTTTTGCTCGGTCCGCCGCCTGAACCTCCAATTTACCTCAAACATCTAATCAGACACTCTTGATCTCTTCAAAAGACCCCAAAACCCAAAAATCATGAATTTCACCCTAAGAGCCCATAGAACCACTTTTAAACCTGCTTAATACCTATCCGATGGCCCTGATCGACCCCCACTTACACCTCAACCATTAGAGTAGACAGAACCATTAGACTTAGGACCTTCCAAAACACCTATCTACCCATAAAATTTTAGCTTAAGATTCCTCCATTTACCCCTTCATCGAACAAATATTCCATTCAAATGCCTCTCGATGGCCTAAACACCCAAAACTCAGATTCCCTTGATCTTGACACATCTAAATCGATCAAACCACACCATAAAGTTTCAACCCTAAATTCCCCCAAATGTCATTCTACAAACCAAACTCCATTCCAAAACATCCCGTTGACCCAAATTCCTACAATATTGACCCTCTAAGATTGATTAGACATCACCATCATATCCTGTACACCTCCAAATACCCACCTATAAAATTTCATCTCAAAAAACCTTTTCTTACCCTTCCATTGCACCAATATTTCATTTTAAGTCTTTATATTGACCAAATTCCAAATCTGCCTGATGTGGGCATAGTTGACTCAATCTAACCTTATGAATCACCTCATACTACCTAAAAATCATATCCTATGAGATCTCAGCCTAAAACACCTTTGTTACCCCTTAATCACTCCTAGATTCCATTCCGAGGCTTTAGATTAACTAAATCAAGCTCTTTCTAGATTTGCTCGATGAGGGCTTATTTGGGCCAATTTAACATTCCAATCAGTCCAAAACCCCCCAAAACTTCACCCTGCCAATTTTCACAAAAAATACCTCCATTTTCCCTTAATCATACCAAGATTTTGTTTCAAGGCTTCAAATTGACTGAATATCAAGTCCTTTTGATCTTTGACCATTTGACCCGATCTGACTTTACCAATCATCTCAAACTACCCAAAAACCCTATCTTGAAAAGTTTCATCCAAAATAGACCCTGTTTGCCCCTTGATCGCACCTATATTCCATTCCGAGACCCCATATTAGCCGAATTAAATCTTATCCAGATCTGCCCGATCTGGGCCCATTTGGCCTAATCCAACCCCACCAAACAACTCAAGACCTCCAAAAACTTCACATTGTCAAATTTCAGTCAAACATACCCCCATTTACCCATCCACCAGGAAATATTCCATTTTTGCCAATATTGGTAGCTCACAAACACAAAAGCCCCCTTTGTTATTGAACGCACCAATCTCAATCCTCCATTTTTCTTTAACCCGAACCACCCATCATCGAACCAAACCCGGTTTGATCGAATAAACCCTTTTTGACCCGCGTGTGCAAAGCTGTCAGCCTCCCCCGAATTTTTCTTAAATTTACGAACTTGCCCCTAATTATTCTTTAAAAGGGGCCCAAGCTGTCTGAGTGGGTGGGAAAGCTGTTCGGTCCCTGCTTCACTCGTCAGCGGTGAACGAATAATGGCCAGCTTCTTCTCCCGACTCTTCCTTCTGTAGCTGGTTTCTGTCTTTCTTTTTCTTTTTTTTCATAAGTCTTTCCTCTTGTTCTGCGTTTTATCTCTGTATTTCTTTTCTCTGTTCTTCAATTATAGAGTAATAACTCGCGGAGTGAGGTTTGGTTTGATCGCCAATCGGATTCCGGCGATTCACTATCATTTCCGTGTATCAAGTTCCAGAGTTTTTCATCTACCTTCGTCGTCAGTCGCTGTTTGCAGCGCCAGTCAAATTCAGGCCAAAATCTCAATTAGGTCAGTACCAGCCTGGCCAAAATCTCACTCAGGTCAGTCGCTGTTTTCATCTACCTTCTCTGTAAATTTTGGTATGAAATGATGGGTGTCGGGAGGGTCATCAGAACCGATGATGATAGCTCCACTGAATCGGTTCTCTTGAGACCTACCCAGCCTCGTCGTAACATCCCTTAGATCTCAAATTGTCGCATCATGTTTTGAGTTTACAATGGATCCGTTATATAATGGACTTTTGTTTTTCTTTGTTTTCTCTATTAACGATTATGCTTCTCTGCGTTCACAACTGCGTGCGGCTCATTTCAATTTATCTTTCATTACATCTTTTGTCTGATCTATTTGAATAAATGGTCGTAGGTTTCAGATCTCTTATCGTCTTGTTATGTTGAAGGATTGTTTTCTTTTAATAAACATTATTGAGTTCACAATTCAGTTGGTCACAATCTCATAGTGTTTGTTATGTTGAAGGACCGATACGGCCATGAACCAGCTGCGAGAATATTAGTTAGAGGTTTGATTGTTTTGAAACCTAGACTGTGACAAAAGATGTTGGGGGCATATTGACCGTTAAGGCTTATTAATGCTGTAGACCAGGGAACTGTTGATGTTAAGGCCCGGTTCTGAAACCTCTTCAATCACAAAAGAGAGTATATAAACTGTTTGATAAAAAATAAAGATGATTGGAAATCTTAATAATTATAACATTTCAACAAGAAGGAAGAAGAGAGTTGGGGAGTTGTATGCAAGGTTGCTAGGCAAACAAAACAGGGAGTTTGGTGGCTAGAGCTGAAGCTATGTTAGGGGAAGATTCAGCAACCTAGAGAGAGGATTAGAAAGGAAGGGGAAGGAAAACAGATTACAGGGAGCACAGTAGTCTCCCAACAAAACCAGAATAAATCATAAAAAAATAAAAATAAAATGGAAATCAGCAACAAAAATGGCATAAAAAATAAAAAAAGAACGTAAAAATAAATAGTGGTGAGTCAAGATATTTTGAGCAGATTTGTGAGTTTGAACAGTTAGTTTGCTTTTGGGGTAAAGTGATGGGATAAGGAGGGTGAGAATAGGAAGAGTTGGAATTGGTTAATGGGTGGGGGGAGGAGGGGGAGGGAATTAATGAATACATGTATAAATAGGATTCAATTAAAAAAATAATAATAATAAAAAAAAGAAAAAGAGTTGACATTGCAAAATAAAGTGGATGTGATAATAAGAAATACGATAAAATATAATAATAAATTTGATATAGTAGTTTCTTTTGTTTGTTCTTGTCTTATTACTATATCTTGTTTGTTTGTGCTTGTTGGTATCTCATGTGGGCCCCACCTATTGGACCCGGGAGAGGGGTGTCTAACCCATTCCCTCTCCCATTCGAGTCTTACCCGGACTGGTGCCTTGGGCTTTGAGTCACTATTTAAAACAAAGTATTTTGAGAATCACTCTCGAAGGTCCCATCACCTCTATTTCCTAAATTGATGGGTGGTGATTCCATTTCCAGCCCAAGTGGAATGTGAGCCATTTTTCCGATGCTCACGAGTAGCTTGGATTGATCATATGGATCCTCCATGTAGTGGTAATAGCTAGGGATCCTCTATTGAGCATCCCTGCTTGACTTGATTAAACTTTCTACTTATATATGGGATTTGGGTGAGTAATTTTTTTTTCTTTGTGTGTGGTATCAAAGAGTGAAGAAAGATATTTTTTTAGCAGTCAAAAAAAAAAAACAGAAAAAATGGGAAAATGAATGCTTTGAATTAGCCCTGCCATTTTTCTACATGCTAAGAGAGATTAGTGTAGTGAAGAAACTTGCATGATCATGTTGAGTGCCCTCTCACTTTTCATACAGACATACTACATAATTCTCTCTTGGTTTCAAAGCTGCCTCTATACATACATGTTCTCTCTTGGTTTCAAAGCTGCCTCTATACATACACGTTCTCTCTTGGTTTCAAAGTTGCCTCTATACATACATGTTCTCTCTTGGTTTCAAAGTTGCCTTTACTAAACTATGGCAACATATGATTGATCAAAAAAAAAAAAAAAACTATGGCAACATATGAGCTTACTGGATTCCTGTCATAAACTCATAATGGATGATGTTGTTGGTACCAATTTTGTTTTATTGTCGCACTGACACATCTTGTTGAATCTTGTAGATTCTCAACATGGGATTAAGCAAAGTAGAAATTAACCTGAGGAGGTTGCTTGCAGCAGCACCTCAACAACAGAATCAGGCAAAGCTTATGCATGTAAGTACAAAGTGGTATAGATTTACCCTGAAACTGTTTGGATTCCACCAAGTCTACTGGGTTTCTTTATGTTTGTGTTCTTTTGATTAGTTCTTGATGAGTAGACTGAGAAACTCAGGCCAGTAGGATAGCTAACAATTGATGATCATTGTTTAAAAACATGGAGGCATGAGATGAGGTGCTAGGAACTTTAGGTGTAAAAAATTATTGACTTTTAAGAAAAGCATCGAACTAATATGAGAATCATAAAACATTCATAAGAGGAGTATATTCTTATAATTTTGTGTAAGAAAAGGATATACTTGAATTATCAATTGCATAAACAAATGAGTTGAGAATATTAGGAGCTTTAGATAATGTCGTTGCATTCATACAAATAATTTAAGAACTATTAGGGAGCTCTAAATGATAATCAAAATGGATTTAAATATGCTAAAGCATTGATGCGAGCACATATTTACGTATAAGTGTATATACATATACATACATACACACACACAAAATGCATCTTGTGTGTCAAGAATGTGTTTATACTTTCAGGCACGAGTGTCAAGATTCACACTTGGGTTATTTAAGCCTTGTATGTTTTTTAAAACACTACTGCTGATGTGTAGAAATGGGAAACAAGTTGGGGATTTATGAGGCAGGTAGTAGGATTTTTGATGTTGGAAGTGAGCTGGATTAGCTGGTTTAGGGTTGGAACTGTGAAGCTGGATTTTTGAAGGGAAACTGGTGCTTAAGTTTGAGAGAGGGTATTGATGAAAGGAAATAAATTATAGGGCAAATTTCTTAAACTACCCCTACTGTTTAGCTAATTGACAAACTGTACCCTTACTGTTTAACTATTGTCTTAAACCAGCTCTATTGTCTCTGATAATTAATATCGTCATAAATAATAACAGAAATGATGAAATGTTCCTTTTGCCCTTGGTCTCTTCCTTACTACCATTCATTCTCCCTTCCCTCTCTAGTTACAACGGCAAACCAAAAGAGACGGACAATGATGCAATAATCCCCTACCTCTGGCCTCTCTCTCTCTCTTTCTCTCCTTCTTCCCCTTTGTTCTCTCTTGTTCCCTTCCCCTGTTTCATCATTGCCATTGCAAGTGGCAGATTTAAACTCAGTAGCAGCTCCTCCTTGATCTCCCTCTCTTTCCCTCGATCCCCTATTCGTCTATTTCCCGCTTCCCGTCTCTGCCCCTGCTTCTCTCTTCCTGTTATCTTGTGTTGCTTCCCGTTCTGGCACTAGCATTGGCAGTGCCATTAAGGCTGAACTTAAACACCATTGGCCGAGTCGGGGCACGACCACTAGCGCTGCTGCAACTTCTTTTCTCTAGTTTTCCTCTATAATATCCCTAGAATAAGACAAAGGAGGCATCAATGGCATAGTTTTACATAGTTGCTAAGGCGAGCTTGGGAACTGGAGCTGTAAATTATATTGGAGGACCATGTATTGATTAGATACCCTAGCTATTTGACACCTCACAGCCGAGCTCCAATATTTTGGTTGAAGAAAATAGGGAGGTAGCAAAGAGAAGTGTTGTCGCAAACGACGGAGAAGCAGAGTATAGCATTGAGGGCGTCACCAGTTAGGGGTGGGGGGGCCAGCCCAAGCGGTATCAAGGATATCCGGCCCGTTGGTGGCAGCAAGGACGATAACACCACTATTGCCAAAGAACCCATCCATCTCCATGAAAAGCTGGTTGGTTGTTTGCTCCCTCTCATTGTTTCCACCTCTGAGCCCAGCCCCACGCTGCCTACCCACGACACCAATTTCATCAATAAATACAATGCATGGGGCTTGGACTTGCCTTTTTGAACAAGTCCCAGACTCTTGATGCACCAACTCCTACGAACAACTAGACAAACTCCGACGCAGCACACGATAAAAACAACTCTTTAGCTTCTCCAGCAATGGCACGGGCCAAAAGGGTCTTTCCAGTTCTTAGAGGTCCGACCAAGAGAACCTCTAGGAATTTTCGCTCCAAATTGAAAAGGCTGTTGTTGGAGTCACTCTCTGAGACGGAAATGTCGACACTGTTCATGGCGAGGATGTTGATCAGATCTGGGTCGTAGGAGTGTGTGTCTTTGCAAACTTGAGAAAACTGCCACTTATTTGGATTCAAAGAGAAGTATTTGTGGTGGGGGAGAATGTTCTATTGTCTGCATCTTGTGATTGGCTTTATGTACCAGGATGATCCAAGGCTTTGTTCTTCTATGAGCACTGAGTGACAGCGATAGTGTTCTTCAGAGACGAGGGTTTCTCCTTCTCCTTCTCCCTTTCCTTCTCTTTCTCTGTCTCTGGTGGTCTCCCTTGACACCACGTGAAAATGCTTCTTATCGGGAGCCGCAAATTGGGTTGTCTTGCTGGCAAATCCGCTTGTTGTCATTGCTGCAAAATTGGGTTTTGACGAACAAGGAGGGAGAGGGAAAGGGATGAAGGGTAAAATTGGGTTTAAAAAAAAATTATTCGTCACGTGGTGTCACGTGTACAGGTTTTGATGGAACATTAATGGATGCTAATGGCAGGGATAGAGCTAGTCAGTTGTCAAAAACAGTAGGGGTGGTTTAAGACAATAGTTAAACAGTAGGGTACAATTTATCAATACACTAAATAGTAGGGGCAGTTTAAGAAATTTGCCCAAAATTATAATACATGATGTAAAGGGATCAATAGACACAGAATTTTGAAAGATGGAGACGAACTTCATATCGACAAATAGATGGAGAAAGATGCTGTAAGTGGAGAAGAAGAATTTCTTACTGGAAGAAACAGGCGGATTAGCGATTAAGATCAAGGAAAACACTTTGGTGTTTCTTGACATGGAGGCGATAGTGTGGTCGAAAGGCTTTATCAACAGCATTCTCTTTGGAGTTACAGTAACTAGTTGGAAGGGTGAGTTTAGCATGCAAGGGAAGAACATGCCAGTATGCTTATCATCTTTTGTTCAAGAAATTTCTTTTATATTGATTAAAACATAATTGTCTCAGTTTAAGACCATGGATGCATACTTTCGTACTTTGTTTGGTTTTATTTTTAAATATCTTGATCTTATTGCATTTCTTATCTTTTATAGAGGTCATGTTGAACTAAATCCTTTTACTTCCTGATTCATGTAATTCAATTTTGCAGTATGTTGCAACTTTACGGGAACAACTGGAACAACTTTCTGAAGAGACTACTCCAGAAGGCTTACCAAGGTTTGCCTTACTTATTTTCTAGTCTTTCTTATTTTAGGAGCCAAGAGTGAAAATTAGAAATTCCTGGAATTTTAAATATTTTTTGATTGTTAATATAAAGTGGTACTGAAATGGAAGGTGCGAACCAGCTGGTTGGTAATGTCTCCTGCTGGTTGTAGCGGAGACTTGGGATTGAATCCCACCTGCACCTAGGTAAGTTGGGGGGGTTATGGGTTGGGGGATGGGTACCCCCCCCATTATTTAGCCCTTCAAAAGAAATAAAAAAAATGAAGTGGTATTGAAAGAATGGAATGGTGAAACTTATCAAAAAAAAAAAAAAGAATGGAATGGTGAAACAGTATTGATGCCAATTCCATTTAGTTGGGGCAAGGCTTAGATGATGATTTTTATTCTTTTAATATGTAACAGAAAACTTTTATTAAAATGAAAAAAAGAGATGTACAACTGATGATTAGACCAGCTACAGCAGTACCTAGACTAGGCAGATCCAGCCCATCGTATTTTACATTTTGTTCTCTGCCTAATCCTTTAATAGTTTTTTGTTTATGTTATATCAATCACCCACTGTTTCTATCAATCCCTAAAATAATTGCTCTCTACTAGTTTAATCATCCCCATTATCTTTTTCTTGATTGGATTGGATTTGAGGGGCTATCTCTTCAGTTCAACGGTCCAGTGAACTTGCCTTTTTTGGATTGTCACCTGTTATCACCCTTTATCTAGATGATTTGTTGATTGGGTATTGACCGCTTCAATCTTCTGTTATTATTTGCATTTTGTTATCAAGTTTTGATCTGTATTGGTAGGACATCTGCCTTGTTCTCTTCTTTGGTTTTTCTTGAATCTTTCTGCTGAAATGGCTTTGGAAAAAAACACATTCTGAATGTGAAGTTTGATGGGATTAATTATACCTTTTGGAAGTTCCACTTTTAGTTCTTCATTGAAGGGAATGGTCTTTGGGGGTATGTTGATGGCACAACAAAGCAACCTGATGAATCTACTTCTAAGGGTCTGAAACAATAGAAGATTGACAATGCAAAATTTGTATCTTGGCTTCTTAGTTCAATCAAAATTGACATTGCCATTGCCATTCTGATGTGAAGCTTCCTGGACTGCTAATGAGATGTTTTTTTTGATAAGTAATGCTAATGAGATGTCTGCCCATATTGAAAGGTGTATCAACAGTCCGACATGTACTGTCAATATCAAATCAAGTCAAATTTTTCTTAAAATCTGGGTGAAAAGAAAATACAAGAATACCATACTGTTTTTGTGAACTTGTGGATAGAGTATGAGCTAGTTCATATGGGTCACTCAACTTTTTCTTGGTACATTAAAGCTATGAAAGAACACTTTGACAGGAGAAAGATAATGCATTTCTTAATGATTATGAGACCAGGGTACGAAGTTATAAGATCAAAAACCCTTAATAGGATACCTCACCAACTCTTGACTCGGTTGGGATAATTCTCAGAGAAGAAACTAAATTGATTACACAGTCTGCTATTGGTGTGAAAGCAAATTCTGGATTAGAGATAGCTTTTTTGATGAACAGGTCAAAGCCAAAAGACTTGTCTTGAGTACAGTGCTACGAATTTTAGGAGTACGGGCATGTTGTCTCATATTGTTGGTAGAAAGAACTTTTGTACTTATTGTAAGTAGCAAGGGCATATAATAGTTGAATGTTCTACTTGGCCAGCTAAGTTAAATGGTTTGGGCCCTAAGAAGAATCAGCATAAGGCTTACCAGACAATGAAAGAAGTATCAGATAAAGGGACTGTTAGTTCTTCTGCAGGAAAGGATGAGAATTCTGGGACTCTTATAGAAGAAAAAATGGGACAGCTAGTATCTTCAGGGATTTGGTCTACGTTTTCATCCATTGGCCTCTTTTGGTGAGTCATCCTATTATTTTTTGATCAGTAGAAAGTTTATTTTATTGAAGTAGTATAAGCGAGGACAATACTATTTGATGACAAAATGTCATTCCAAATGTCAAAGCCAATTTACAAAGAAGCCCAAAACAAATGTTGCCTTGGATATATTTTTTGAGAAATAAATCTGATGTTTTCCAACCTTAAATCCTTCTTGGCTAAGATCAGAAATCAATATGATACTAGTATTGGGGTTTTCCATTCAGACTCAGGGGGTGAGTATTTTGATGCAGACTTTCAAACTTTCTTGATAGACAATGGAATTCAATCACAGAGATCTTGTCCTGGCACTCCACAACAAAACGGAGTGGCAGAGTGCAAGAACAAACACATTTTGAGTATTGTCAATACCTTGCTTCATAATTCACATGCTCTTACTTCCTTTTAGGTGGAGGCTAACACTACTGTTTACCTTGTCAACCTTTTTCCTTCTTTTGTTTTTCATAATGCTTCTCCCTTCTAAAGCTTATTCCATTGTTCATTTGACTTCTTTGTACTTCACATGTTTTTGATTGTGTGCTTTGTTCATCTTTCACTTCATGAGTGCAGCAAACTCATCCCCTAGTTAATAATGTATGCCTTTGTTGGATATAACCCTGACCATAAGGATTTCCTTTGTTATGACCCTCGTTCCCATCAGATTTGTGTCTTATAGTGTTATTTTCCTTGAGATATTTTTTTCTTTGCTCACATTGTTAAACTTCCTGCTACTTCTATTTTAGTGCTACATTCATTTTTTTGGCCCCTAAATTTACTCCTGGTGGAGGGGTGGCCATCGAAAATTTTATTAATTATGTACGAAAAACCCAAGCCTAAGATGGGGGGACATAAAAATCTTACCCCTCGAGAGAAAAACTAATTACATTAAAATCCGTCCTAACTATATTGTAATTACAAAGAGAAAAAGGAATGGATCTTGTCTAAGATCAAAAATGCAAAAAAACTAGCTTTCTTCGAAAGCCAATCCGCCACCCTATTAGCCTCCCTGAAGATATGTACAACCCAAACATCCATAGTTTGGTAATATGATTGTAGCTTTGTTTGCCAGTTCTAGAGTTTCCAAGGGAGAGAGAAAGCACCCTGTACAATTTTTGCTGGAATTTGAGAATCTGTTTCCACAATCACCTTCAAAATTCCAACGATCTTGCTATTGGGTGTCTCTGTTATGGGCCCGGGAATAGGATCTCGTCATGGGTCGGTCCACGGGGAAAACCTCCTGTTTTCCCTTGTTCCTCCCTACTCTTGATGAACCTATCTTGGCGCCCTAATGGTGATTTGTCCAACAGATCACCTAACTCTCCTTTGCTCTCTTTCTTGACTGAAATTTTCAATGATTTTATTCAATATTCTCAACTCCTTAAATAGGAGATTACAAGAGATAAGAGTCCTACTTTTAGGAAGACTCCTTGCTAGTTAGAAAGACTCCTTGCTAATTAGGAAGACTCCCTACTAATCTATCCTACTGAACTGATAAGATAAGATAAGACTCCCTTAATCTATCCTACTGACAAGATAAGATAAGACTCCCTACTAATCCATACTACTGAACTGATAAGATAAAGAACACTGAATAGATAAGACTCCTACTAATCCCTACTACTGAAAGCAGATAAGGTAAAGAATACTGAATAGATAAGATAGGATGAGAACACTAAATTGCTGCTGCCAAGAACACTAAATTACTGCTGCTGCTGCCGGCGTCCACATCATTACTCCCCTCCTAGGCTATGAACTTGTCCTCAAGCTCGAATTCAGGATGGGTGTCTTGAAACACAGTCAAAGGAATCCCGGATAGGTGGGATGATTTTGCCCTCCTAGATCGGGTTCCAATGAAGAGGGTTCATCCTCAGACAACTGTAGTGAGATATCAAGATTTGGCCATGCGTAGCTGCATTCTTTGCCACGGCCAACTGCAGCCTTAAGGTACTTCTGAGATGTCTTGAACTGTAGAGTACAAAGATTGTGAAGGCCAAGCTGGTGCCACTGAACCGCATCATCTGGATCCTCTTTTATTGCCTGCTTTAGTGTGTACAAAGCTCGCTCTTCCACTTCCGTCAAATCATTATGTCCAG